TATCTATCTATCTATCTCATTTTGTTCAAATCTATCTATCTATCTATCTATCTATCTCATTTTGTTCAAATCTATCAGGTCTGTTCAAATCTATCTATCTATCTCAGTTTGTTAAAATCTATCAGGTCTGTTCAAATCTATCTATCTATCTACCTATCTATCTATCTCATTCTACTGGTATCTATCTATCTATCTATCTATCTATCTATCTATCTATCTATCTCAGTTTGTTCAAATCTATCAGGTCTGTTCAAATCTATCTATCTATCTATCTATCTATCTATCTATCTATCTATCTATCTATCTATCTCATTCTACTGTTAACTATCTATCTATCCATCTATCTATCTATCTATCTATCTATCTATCTATCTATCTCATTTTGTTCAAATCTATCAGGTCTGTTCAGATCTATCTATCTATCTATCTATCTATCTATCTATCTATCTATCTATCTCATTCTACTGGTATCTATCTATCTATCTATCTATTTATCTATCTATCTCATTTTGTTCAAATCTATCAAGTCTGTTCAGATCTATCTATCTATCTATCTATCTCAGTTTGTTCAAATCTATCAGGTCTGTTCAGATCTATCTATCTATCTATCTATCTATCTATCTATCTATCTATCTATCTATCTATCTATCTATCTATCTATCTATCTCATTCTACTGGTATCTATCTATCTATCTATTTATCTATCTATCTCATTTTGTTCAAATCTATCAAGTCTGTTCAGATCTATCTATCTATCTATCTATCTATCTCAGTTTGTTCAAATCTATCAGGTCTGTTCAAATCTATCTATCTATCTATCTATCTATCTATCTATCTATCTATCTATCTATCTATCTATCTATCTATCTATCTATCTATCTCAGTCTGTTCAGATCTATCATATCGTATGGCAGTTTTATGGCGTCTCGAGGTGGTGTAATGGTTAGCCGGCTTGTTTTTCTGAAACACTTCTGAAACGACTGAGTTGTGAGTTCGATCCTCGCTGGGAGGTCCATGCTTTCGGCCTTGAACCACAATTAATCTACGCTCAGAAAATCACTATAGCATGGTCGTTTTACTTTGAGTTACTATACTTATTTTCTGTATCCCTCCTCCTCCTCTCTGTCTTTTCTCTTTCTTACTTGCACTCTTAATATTTCCTTCTTGTTCATTTTTTTCTTTTTTTTCCTCTTTCTCCTTCTCAATTCACGCTTATATTTGTCCATTTATGTATTTCTTTAGCAGCATAACACGTCTCTAGTTCCTTTTTCTTCATTTCTAGTATAACATGTATATTCCTTCTTCTTTCCTAGCACATCTTACTTTAATGTTAATATTCTTTCTTTCTTTCTTTCTTTCTTTCTTTCTTTCTTTCTTTCTTTCTTTCTTTCTTTCTTTCTTACCTTCTTTCGCAGTATAACATCTCTTGCACTTTCTATCTTTCTTTCTTCCTTTTTTCCTTCTTTTTTTCTTTTTTTCTTTCCTTCTTTCTTTCTTTCTTTCTTTCTTTCTTTCTTACTGATTTACTTTCTTACCTTCTTTAGCAGTATAACATCTCTTGCGCTTTCTATCTTTCTTTCTTTCTTTCTTTCTTCCTTTCTTTCCTTCTTTCTTTCTTTCTTTCCTTCTTTCTTTCTTTCTTTCTTTCTTTCTTTCTGATTCACTTTCTTACCTTCTTTAGCAGTATAACATCTCTTGCGCTTTCTATCTTTCATTCTTTCTTTCTTTCCTTCTTTCTTTCTTTCTTTCTTTCTTTCTTTCTTTCCTTCTTTCTTTCTTTCTTTCTATATTTCTTTCTTTCTTTCTTTCTTTTTTCTGTGATTGTTTCTCTAAAATTATTCTAGTTTTTTTTCTTTTTTTTTTATCGACGAGGGAGAATTCTCTGTGCAATAAACTGATCCAACGAACACCACTCATTTCTCCACAAGCAAAATACCGCCCCCATGTTCAATTGTCTGAGCTTGTTGGCATCAGCCAATGGCAGACATGTTGTAAGTTGATTCAGCTTCAGAATGTTTTTTGCTCGTTCCGCCCCACTCTCTCTTTATCTCAATATTCTTCACTTTTTTCTTTCTCCTTACTTGATATTCCTTTCAACGTTCCCTCTTATTTTTTTTTATTCCGTTATTTTCTTTTTCCTTTCTTTTGCTTGAATCTTCCTTACACATCTTTTATATTATTTGTTTTCCTCCTCAGCGTTTCATTCATGCTCATTCTTTCTGTCGTTTCTTTCTGTCGTTTCTTTCTTTCTTTCTTTCTTTCTTTCTTTCGTTTATTTCTCAATTTTCTTCCCACTTTCTTTTTTTATTTCTCTGTTTTTTCTCTCCTTTTTTCATATTCTTTCTTTCTTTTTCTGTTTGTCTCTCTTCTCTTTCTTTATATTCTTTCTTTCCGTTTTTCAGCCTCTTCTCATTTCTTAATTTTTCATTCTCCTCTTTCTTCACAATATCTATTTTTCTTTCTTTCATCATTCCTCCACCTTCATCTAATTTTCTGCTAAATCTGCATTTGTTATTGCCTCACAACTTTTATTTAATCTCACTTTCATACTATGTCTCAATTCTTCTTATTTACAATATATTCAACTCACGGCATGACGCTATTAAATGTGAGCCTATTATATTCACTGATATTCGGTGTTTTTTGGGGGGTTTTTTGGTTTCTTTTGTAATCATTTCACCCCAAAGACGGCAATAAAAGCCGCTAGGATTCATGGGGTTACTGAGAGTGAAAGAGTCAGGGAGGACAATAAAAGAAAAAAAATCCAAGGAGACAAAGACTGACGATAAACATTGCCTTTATATTTTTGTAATCAAATTTGACAAGAAAGTAATATACCAGTTGAGAATTCCACAAGCAAGTGGGGGGCTAGGGGAGGCAAGAAACTATAAGCGTTGTGCTTACGGTTAAAATTTCAGTAGTGATATTATGAGACCTAACTGCCAGTCTAGTCAGTCAGTTAAGTGCAATGCGTGATACACTCTTGAGTGATCATGTCTTTTTTGATTCATGACTGACAAAGCAGGTTTCCCCGCAGTCGGTTGCCATTTTCAACTCCAGTTGGGTTTGTTACATTCACTTACACACAAATACCCTTTAAAAAGGCAAGAATACATCTTCCCCACCCAGATATGGGTTAAATGGTGATATGTCCCGGAAAGGGATATATTTGATTGGAGTAGTTAAGTGGGTTTTGGCTACTGTAACCAAGTAGGACACGGTAGCAGTAATCGACTGGTACTCATCGTAGTCGCAGGTAATAGCTGTAGACCAATAGGATAGCCAATGGCGTAGTCCAATGGGCGTCGTCATAGACTTAAACTCTGTCGTACCTACACGTCTGTCTGTATTTATGACGGACACCAGCCAATCATATTCCAGTGAGGGGGAACTCAGGTGTATGCATATTCCATTATATCAAATGGCAAAACAGTCCCAGTGCCTTGGTTGTCAGCCAGTCTACTGCCAATCTAGTACTGTGCTTAAATCCCTGAATTCAAGATACCAAACTCCTCAAAACAATTACCGTGAAAATATTTATATAAGGGGATCTCCACCCTTGTGAAAATTAATTAAAACAACCGCTTTAGTTTCCTTTCTTTCAACATACAATCAGTTTTAAACACACTGGAATGACAGGGTGTAATCGATTTCTATTTTTTCCTCAGATTAGGTCATTTGCAGTGGTGTGCAATAATATGAATCTATTTTCGGTGTATATGATGAAATATGTTTGACCTTGAAAAATATTGCGTCATCACGTCCAGATACTATTGTCTCGATTGTCGATTAGTTATCCTACGCCCATTGTCTGCGATGGACGTTACTCCACGAAAGCGTACGAAAATTGTAACGCTGCATGAGCACAATGACAAGCCTTAGCAGTGAGCAAATCAAAGGACTATCGACTGGCTTTGAAACGCTTTTGATTTAAATCCAATCGAGAATCTGTGACCAAGGAAAAAACTTCGTGGAATGGACATACGAAGCACTAACATGTGCACTACGCCATGTTTCATTGGAGAAATACAAAAAATAAAAAAAATAAAAATAATAATAATAACGGAATTATTTGTTTTGTTTCAATTAATTTGCACAAGGGTATATGTTACGTCGGCGGGAAAGTGACAAAAGCCCGGATATCAGTTCAGGACCGATAGCATTAGGGACTCTTTTTTTTTATTTTCTCAGGAATCTCTAGATATACAGCAGATGCCCTAGACTAGATGCGGCAGCAATATTCGAAGCACGGACCAAACGTGCAAGATAGATTCTGGCGAGAGATTTTTTTTCTAGCTCGACATAATAAATCGACTTTCCTATCGGCAGGCCTAACAATTGATTCAATATAATCCCTCCATTTCATGTCAGGGGAAAATGTTAGACCAAGAAGGCGCCCTGAGTTGCCCTTAAAGGCCATTCACTTTCATTCCGAACAGTTTCGTTTTGAAGGGTTTAAAAATAACAGTCCGCTCGTCCTCGATAAGACGATAAAGTACATCCGCGTCCTGGGTAAGACGATAAAATACATCCGCGTCCTGGGTAAGACGATAAAATACATCCGCGTCCTGGGTAAGACGATAAAGTACATCCACGTCGTGGGTAAGACGATAAAGTACATTTGCGTCCTGGGTAAGACGATAAAATACATCCGCGTCCTGGGTAAGACGATAAAGTACATCCGCGTCGTGGGTAAGACGATAAAATACATCCGCGTCCTGGGTAAGACGATAAAATACATCCGCGCCCTGGGTAAGACGATAAAGTACATCCGCGTCCTGGGTAAGACGATAAAGTACATCCGCGTCATGGGTAAGACGATAAAATACATCCGCGCCCTGGGTAAGACGATAAAATACATCCGCGTCCTGGGTAAGACGGTAAAGTAAATCCGCGTCCTGGGTAAGACGATAAAATACATCCGCGTCCTGGGTAAGACGATAAAGTACATCCGCGTCCTGGGTAAGACGATAAAATACATCCGCGTCCTGGGTAAGACGATAAAAGTACATCCGCGTCCTGGGTAAGACGATAAAATACATCCGCGTCCTGGGTAAGACGATAAAATACATCCGCGCCCTGGGTAAGACGATAAAATACATCCGCGTCCTGGGTAAGACGATAAAATAAATCCGCGTCCTGGGTAAGACGATAAAAAAAAGTACATCCGCGTCCTGGGTAAGACGATAAAATACATCCGCGTCCTGGGTAAGACGATAAAGTACATCCGCGTCCTGGGTAAGACGATAAAATACATCCGCGTCCTGGGTAAGACGATAAAATACATCCGCGTCCTGGGTAAGACGATAAAATACATCCGCGTCCTGGGTAAGACGATAAACTACGCCTAACAACAAGGCCTCTGATCAGTAGTTTTGAGGCGCATGGAATCACCTCTTAATTGCTCGTGTTCCCAGGTCTACTATGACCTAGGGTGGTAGCAATTGTTCGGGTCCTAGCTATGGGTAAATAGTTAACCCCTAAACTGAGGTCAAAACACTATGAAAGTGTAGAAATAGGTTTTAATACCAGAAATATTTTGTAAAAATTACCAGCAATAAATGTTTGAAGAAAAACTATTACCAGCAGTACATTTTTGGAAAAAACATATTACCAGCTATAAATTTTTGAAAAAAAAAACAAAACATATTACCAGCAATAAAAATCTTGTCGGCATTAAATAACCCATTGAGATTGATATGTCGTAAAACAAACCAAACCAAACTAAACAGGCCTCTTCTTAGCCGAACGAACAAATGGATACGTTATGAATGACGCGGCCAACTAGGCACACGTAACATGCTGAAGTGGATTTGTTTGAAGAACTCGCTGTTTTACAACTATTTAGCATTTGCAGTTGTATTTACTTTGAGAGAGCATTTGCAGAGTTCTCATTGGCTTCTGATTTACGGACATCGAATAGGATGTCATAACCACATTTTCTTTGTTTAACTTCTTAATGTTTTTCCTTGTTTTCTTTCTATTTTTCGTACGAATAAAACAAGCACTATCAAACACAGCGAATATACTGTATATTGAATTGTAAATTTTCCTCCTGATAGATGAACTGTTATGTAATATCAATCACCCGATACGGCAGTGGATACTGAACAATTTCCTTACAGATGAAGAAGAAACTTGAGCCAACAGCGATGTATAATTTACATTATTTATATTCGGACTATTGTCCTCATCTTTGTTGTGGTTCGTCAGCTGTATATCGAGCTGAGTAACCTACAGAGAATTCTCAAGCCTTTATTTAATGTAAGGGGGTAAAATTTCTCGTTTTATTATAGAAATTGTCTAGTTTTTATTTTTATTTAATACTGTTCAATTATTGCCTGAGCGTTTCCACAGTCTGACACATGGTATGAACAACCAGTATGTCATCAAATTCACAAACCAACGCTTTTATCCACTAGAGCATTGTCTCATTGGACAATTTGCTGTAGTGAACTTAGAGCTTTAAGCCTAATTTGTCCGCTGATTAGGCTGCAACTGCTGCTGTTGTCTGTTGTGTTTTAAATGCTACTGACCATGTTTTAATTGCTGCTGCTATTGAACGCTGTAACGACAACAACAAAGGTGTCCGAATATAAATAGAATAAATAATGATAACTCTGCATGGCAGGAAATTCAGACAGAAATAGAGATATAGTTCTACAGAAGGATGCTGAGAATGCCATGGACAGAATAAGGGACTAACGAGGACGTTTTATGGAAAATGGGAACAAATAGGATACTCGTATTTGCGATTAGAAATCTATAATTGAAATTTCCAGGATACATAATGAGGAAAGCGGGCTTGTAAAATTTGACACTCACGTGATTACTGAATCAAGAAAGGGGGCAGAATCAACAAGTAATCTATCTAACGAGCTTGTGTAAATGGATGCCGGAACATGGACTAGGTGGAATAGCAAGGAAGCAAATAATGCTTAGAGCTGCAAAGGATAGGAAGTTGTGGAGAGTCAGGGACGTCCTTGTCCTAGAGATACAACGTATATAAACGAAAAAGTGGGATCGATAGACAAGAAGGTCGATCTTTGCCAAAGATGGGGTTAGACGACATTTGGTAGTATTGTGCATGGCCAACAAAACACTTTTTTTTTATTCTTTCGTTATGTTTGAATTTTTGTGCCCTTTTCTCTTCTTTTTCGTTAAACATTTTATCTTTTTATTTTTTTTTTCGTCTCTCTTTATCGATTATCATCTTTTTTTTAAAAATATTTCTTCTCTTCCATTTCATCTCATAATCAATTTAATATTCGCTCGATTTTGCCAGATCATTATGTATTTCTCTCTCCTCTTGGATCTCTGATTCGAGGCTGTTGGAACGCGTGCAGTCGACGCTGTCAAATGACGCCGTGTCTCTTTACTACACACGCTCAGTCGCCTTTGATGTCGCCATAAACACTATAAAAGGCTTAAGTTCAAAGATAAAAGCTTCATAAAATACTATTCAGGTGATGGAGACTATGCCTGTAGGAGTAGAAGAGC